TTCTTTTCTGGCAGTTGAGAGTTCTGGTCCATGCATCATCTTAGCCAGCAGATCCCCAGTGGAGGTGAAGTGCAGTGCCTCTTGGTGGTTAATGCACACGTTTTTAGTTAGGGTTGAAAAAGAACATTTCTTAGATCTGAATGAGACATTGACATTCTTAAATTTGCATGCCTTTTTGCCCAATTTGCTTTTGGTAGTTCATAATTTTCTCATGGCTATGTAAAAGTTTTCAGTATATTAAAAAAATGTCATGTTTTGTAGATATTTTCCCCCACTTTTTGTTTTTTGCTTTTTTTTCTCTGCATTTTCCCGTATGTAGTTAAAAAATCTTTGTGTATTCAAAATCTACCGGTCTTTTTTTATGTCTGTTTTTTTTTTCCCTTGGGAAAGGCTTTCAAATTTCCTCTTAAGGAATCTCTTAAACTTCTTTCAAATTTATTTTGATTTATTATTAAATTCTTTGAATGTCTTTAAAAGATAATCTTGTTGGTATTACTTTGAAGTTTTATGAGCCACTAAGTGCTAAGGTGGCTTTCAGACTCCGTGTCAGACACTAACTTACGTGTTAAATTGAACCCAGTCCCTCAGTGTTGAAACATACTTCCCTTACACTATGTAGAGTAAGCACCCCTCTGTCCTATCTAAACCATGGCTTTTCTAAGTATTTTTAGATGCAGTTTTTTTTTTAATTTTGTTTTGTTTTTTAAACAAATTTCTTTTGTAACAAACAGATGTGTTATAAATAAGTCTTCAAAAGGTTTCAGTTTTTCACTGTTGCCTTCTCTCTCCTTTGCCTGTGCTGTCCACCTTTGCCTCCCACTCCCGCATTACTGAATGCAGTTTTCAGGCTCATTACTTCAGGGGTTAGGTCATTTCAATACCATAAGACGTGCCTCAGTACTGGGGAGGAGGGTTCCAGAATCCCCCTCACATACCAAAATTCATGGCTGTCAAGTCTCCTATTTAAGATGGTGCAGTATTGAATGTGACTTCCTGTATACTTAGCTCATCTCTGGATGATTTACAATCTTAATACAATGTAAATAGTTGTTATACTGCAGTGCTTAGAGAATAATGACAAGAAGAACAGTCTGTGAGTGGTCAGCACACACACACACACACACAGAGTTTCCACCCATGGTTAGTTGAATCTGGTGATTGTGGAACCTGCAGGTATGGAGGCATGTCTGTATTTTCAATAAAATAGTTTTTGAAAGAAGAACATAAAATCTTTTTAGTTTACTTCTTTCCACCTGGAAGAAAACTTATATAGAAAGATAACTGTAACAGGCCAAAACAAGTGTACAGTAATTCCACACAGCGTATTTTTGATCATGTTTATTAGCTATGTGAAATGGCCTTTTGTGGGTTTTTTGGAAACAGAACAGCCATACCTAGTAGATAGCATGTCTTTCAGAATCTTGCCTGTAGCAATTGAGTGTGATCTTCAGACCACCTCTGGAAGCAGAGGCTGGGACAGCGCAGGCTCAGTCAGACTTGGGCTTAAGTCTTCCTTTATGTGACCTTGAGCTTGGTGCTTAGTTGGTTGAGTGACTTGGGGTGCAGCTCCCCGTTCTTGGGACTGGATGATGGAGTTAGTGTGAGGAGCACAGCGCGTGGTGGGTAGCGCGACCCGCAACCCTGGGGTCCTGAAGGAGGACCTGTTGGAGGTGCGTGCCTACCTGCACTCTTGCTCTTTCTCCCTCAGGATTCATTTGCCTTTCCAGCCCCACCTGATCTCAGCGACTAAGACAGATAGGATTTCTGTGTGGGGAAGTTTTACATTTAAGAACTTTCAGAGGACTTATTGGAATTTTGGGTGTGTACGTCTTCTAGTCTTTCCTAGCCAAGTAACAGATAATCTGGACTTTTCCATCTGGCTGTCCTGCACATCTTGATATGAATGACGCTGCTCCCCCTCCTTAGAGTTCTACCACCGACGACTGTCCCAATCTTATTTCACAGGCAGTTACAAGGCCTGTGGTCCAGGGTTGCCTTCGGGAAGCCTCCCCTCCGCAGGGGGGTGGGGGCTGCCCTTTCCCTGGGTTTTCTAGGCCTTAGCACTGGATTCCTGCTCCAGCTCTGGACCGGAACTGTTCCTCATCCTTCCTGAGCAGGACCACATTCTGTGCATCTTCCTGTCTCCCGCATGGTTACCTGGGCAGTTGGTGGGTAAATGTATGAATTCTTAGGCTCCCTCCACACTGGGACTTAAATCTTCTCATCTATAAGATATGGCTCTGGGGAGTTGTCAGCTACTCTCACCACGATCACCAGTGGTGGCCAGATCAGGAGGCTCCTTTGGACTTTTGACACTTGGCAGTGACCATGGCTGCTTGAGCATTTGCCCCCACCCCAGGACTATTCGTTCTTACACTTCTGCTTGCTCCTCTGTTGCTCTTGGTGCTTGGCCTTGGGTGTGAGCTTTGCAGGTCTCTGGGATTTTGCCTAAGGTTTCCTCTCATGCTGAGCTGTGTTTGCAGTGTGCCAGCTTGTCCCCTGGGCACTCCCAAGCCAAGAACAGCTAAGATAGAGTCCATTTCCCCTAAACTGCCCTTGCTGCCCACCTTCTCCCCAGCGTCCATCAGCTGTGAGCTGCCTTTCCCATGCTCTAGTCCTATCTAGCTACCCACCCTGACCCTCTTCTTTAGCTCACTTCTCTCCCAGCAAGTCTAGGCCTCTGTCCTCCGGGCATTGGAGCAGTGGCCTCCTACTGTGTTTTTTTGTTCTTTTCCTTCCTATGCAGAAGCAGAGTGCAAATCACATTTTCTTAAAAGAAAAAAAAATTGTCAGTGGTTTTTCATTGCTATATTTTATGGCCCCTCCCTCCCTCTCATCTCCATCCCCTGTTCATTTCTCTCCTGCACATTTTTTTTCTTTTTTCTTGTGGTGCTGGGGTTGAACCCAGAGCCTGTTTATGCGAGCGAGCACTCTACCAACTGAGCTGTATCCCCAGCCCTTCATTTGCACTTTTAATCACTGAGTGCTTCCTTAATGTTGTAGGGTTTCCCCCCTTTTTCTTACTGTCCAGCATGATGGTTCTCATGCCTTGAGGATTGTAAGAATGTGTGCACGGGTGTGTGTTGACAAAGACATTCGGGCACCAAAGATTTTGATTACAGTAAGATCTGATCTCGTTTTCTTGATCTAAAAAGATGACAGTTTGAAAATAGATGGTCACAAAGATTCTATAAAATCCGTCCGATATGTCAGTAGTTCTAAAATGTTTCTATAGTAATCATATTTTTTTTTGAGTGTGTGTGGTAGTAGCAATTGAATGGGGCGGGGGGGGGGGCGGCTGCCGTTGTGCTACATCCCCATCCCTTCTTAAATTTTGAGGCAGGGTCCCTCTGAGTTGCAGAGGCTGGCCTTGTACTTGTGATCCTCCTGCTTCAGCCTCCCCTGTTACTGGGATGACAGGTCTGCGTCACCATGCCCAGCTTCACACTTTTTGTTTGTTTCTTTGTTTTTAATAGTTTTAGTTGTAGATGGACACAATACCTGTATTTTATTTATTTATTTTTATGTGGTGCTGAGGATGGAACCTAGTTCCTCACATGTGCTAGGCAAGTGCTCTATGACTGAGCCACCACCCCATTCCCCACACTTTGTTTTAAATTATATTAATATACAAGTATGGGAAGAGAGAGAAGGCTGAGGGAGAAGGAGGGAGGTTCCTCAAACAGGGATTTGGAACTCCCTACTGCTGTGGCCCAGCATTTCCACCTGCTTGGTGACATTCACCCTCAGGCTTCTCCTTTATGATGTCCTTAAACCACTATCTGCAAACTTTTTAAAGAGGCTGTCTAATATTGATTGAAATTCTGTGCATATGTTTCCTATTTATATTAGATATCAGAATTACCCTGGGCCGGTGCTGGGCCTGGGCGTTTGTACATGTCCTGTGGCTGCCCCTTGGGCATGCACGGCGAGGGACTTATAGGTGTCAGACCTTATTTTCCTCAACTCTTGGGTAGACGGTATTAAATTCTTTTTCTAAGATTTCTTATTAGGAAAGAAATTTCTTTTTAAAGAATTTCTTCAAGATCATATCCTAATTTTTATTCAGAGATTTGAAAGAAAGAATTGATATATTTGGAAGTTTTTTGACTGTAAAAAGCTATGGAAGTGCGAACAGTTTTTAATATCAAGAATACTGACTTTTCTGATGTATTTTACTTTGGGTTTGATTTTTTAAAATGCTGTTGGAACCCTTTAGGAGCATAAGCACTGCAGCCTGTCCGGGACACTGGGCTCAGGCGGGTGTGTCGGAGAGCTGTGCCTCTCAGGGGGCAACGTGGTGTCTGGTGCGCACAGACTGAGGGACACAGCTTCCCGGACATTCTGTGAGAATGTGCCTCGAAAGAAAAATGGTGGGTTTCCTTGAGGCTCCACGTGCCCGTGAAGACCATGTTCGGAGCCCTTCTGTGGAGCTCGGGGAGAGAGCAGCCAAGGCCCCAGAGCCTTCGCCTCTCCCGGGGGTTTTGTGGTTGCTGGCCATTGTGAGGCCACCTGGAGGTGCTGCTGGGAACTTGGGGAGGAGTTTCCCTGTGGCTTTCTGAAGGCCGCAGGTCTGTTGTCAGTCCTCTTACTGTCCCTGAGACTAAGCCGCCAGGGCCCTTGGTTGACAGGCGTGGCGTTTAGAGTGTGCAGGCCCCACTCCCACTGCCACGGATGCCCTGGAGCACTGTGGAGGCCAGCTCCTCTTCCCCCAGGAGAGTTAGTGCAGGGCTCCAACGCCTGGGCTCCCTCTGCCACACAGGTGCCCTTCCAGACTCCCCGACCTGGGCCCATCTGACCGTGCTAGGTGCAGTGTGCACAGAGGGTGTTGAAGCTTGAGGTTCCTCCCTGGGCAGGCTGGATTTTTGTTTGTTTGTTTTTTAAACTGGAAGCTCTTAATTTTATGTAACCATGATGTTTTTGTCCTGAGAATTTAAATGTACCATAAAATGAAAAATTCAAGTCTGTTGCTAATGCAAAATTTTGATTTTTCTTTACAGGTCAACTTTGTAGTGTGCCAACTCTTTGCCTTGTTAGCAGCCATTTGGTTTCGAACTTATCTACATTCAAGCAAAACTAGCTCTTTTATAAGACATATAGTTGCTACCCTTTTGGGCCTTTATCTTGCACTTTTTTGCTTTGGATGGTAAGTATTATTTTGATCACGTTTAAATGAAGACTATTTGGATATATTTGAGAATTGAGCTGCTAAAGATACATTTAAGGGTTTTGTTCTTTTATTTGCTTATAAAGTTTTCTCTCAAGACTTAACATTTTTATTTTTAATAGCAGAACAAAGAGTGGGGAATGGGCTGTCACTCTTTGGTTGGTCTTAGAGAGGAATTTACTAAATTGTAACTTATGAAAAAGGAGAGATAAAAAAGGATGTAAAAAGACATTTTCATCTGGCTGGGTAGTTCTTTGCAGCACTGTGCAAATCTTTTATGCCAAGACAGAACATTTTAAATGGGTGTGGTGCTGGTGATGGTTTTCTTTCTTCTTTCTTTTTTTTTTGGTGCTAGTGGCTTCTAAGAGGCCGGTAATGTCCATATTGAGAGAGCTCTCTTACCACTGTTTAGGTTCTACCATTGGCAAAAAGAGTGTGCTCTTGGTGAAGAAAAGTTATTTATGATGGAGGGCTTTATTTGTGTCCTTCGTGTGGGCCTGGGTGGTCCTTCAGTGAGCCCCTTCTCTATCTTGGGCTACCTGAGAGCCTTCATCCAGAACAGCGCCTCCTGGGTGCCAGGGAGAGCATCTTAACCAGGTGGACTCTTGGTGAAGGGCTGCTTGGTGCCTCCCTCTGGTGTCCTTTCTAGGACACTTACCTTGCGTGTCACTTGCTGATTGCTCACCACTCCAGGAGGATGCCAGGCTGCTTGAGAGCAGAGTGCGGTGAGGTGGAAGTGCACCCGCATGGTCTGTCCCAGCCACTTGCCCCCGTGGGGTGTGGCACCTGCAGTCTGATGACACTTCTGTTTGTTCTGGGATGATGTAGCATTCTGGAGTGTGTTGGTATTTCTTAGTCTAATTTTTGCCTCTGGCAATTGCAGGTGTTTCCTAGAAACTCATGAAAAGTCACTGAGGCATGATTTATTGTGTCCCTGCCTGCATGGCCCTGTGGCCAGCCTTGAGTCAGGGTGCTGTCTTGGGCATGCATGTGTGCAGGAGGAGGTGTGAGTTGATCTCCCAGGTGGATCCAAACATGGTCTTTTCCTTCCTTGATGACATCAGATTTGTGTCATCAAAGTTTTCTTGGGTAGAAACCAAGGCTTCTGGTAAATCATGCAATGGGGGGAAAATATAAACATTAATGTGTTTATATTTATTTATGTTTATTTATAAACACCCATTTAAAAAACTTTTTATTATGAAAAATTTTAAACATAGGAGTATACACTCTCAGGTGCCCATCACCAGCTTCAACAGGTATCAAACCCTACCATTCTTTCTTATCCCAGTTTATTTTTCTAGAGTGAAGTACATTTCTGCCTATACATTTTACACATAAGTAACTTGGGTTTTCAATATGTACTTGTAGAATGTTCTCATGAGGGTTGGAGGAGGTTGGCCAGGGCATATCACTCAATTTGTGGCCTGTGGCAACAGTGGATGATGATGCTGGGACCCTGTAACATAGAGGTAGGGCCGGCAGGTTTCTCTGCTTCACTGTTCTTTACTGACGAAGCACTTCCTTGACATGCAAGCTGCCTTGGATGCTTCGTAACATGGTGGCACATGATACCTGGCTTTAATGTTAGATAATTGCAAGTTGTTTTTTTTTTTTTTTTTTTGGTACTGGGCATTGAACCCACGGGCGCTCTACCACTGAGCTACATCCTGAACCCTTTTTAATTTTGAGACAGGGTCTTGCTAAGTTGCTGAGGCTGACTCAAATTTTCGATCCTCCTGTCTCATCCTCCTGAGTTGTTGGCATTTCAGGCAGACACTGCCATGCCCAGCTATGTAATCTTAGTATTTCAAGTTATATGTGATAATCAGGATTTTTAAAAATTGAGTTTTCCTTTCTTAAAAGAGAAATCCATTTTGCTCTCCTTCCTTTGGGAAGAGAGGTGTTGATGCCTCTGCATCATGTGTAAGATCACTCTTTGCTAGTTGAATTTAGCTAGTGAGAAGTGAAATATTTTTTCATTTACATTTTAGCACTTTGTTTTTCAGGCTTAAAGGTAATCATCTGTTACTGGTTTTTACAACTTCCTTTTGGAAGGACATACATTTGTACTCTGTAATAATTGATTATTTTACCTACTTCTGCTTGTTCTCAATTTTTTTTAAACTATCATCTGTAAGGTTTTTTTTTTAAACTGAAAATTAGTTAATAGTTAAAATCATTTAAATACCTTTGGTAACTGTATAGGGTAATGAAATGAAGCTTAGACTTTGAAGTCAGATAGACCCGATGAGGTCTGGGGGCTTTGCCTGTAGCGGTCTGACTTTGGACTTGTTATTTGACCCCTGTTAGCTTCACTTGCTTCTGTGTAAAGTGCAGTCAGTGATTATTCTGAGCACTAAAAGCCAAGGTGCTACAGCAAACGCTGTGAGCAGGGGCCATTACTCAAGGTCACTTATGTGTCACAGGTTGAGTATCCCTTATCCGAAACGCTTGGGACCAAAAGTGTTTCTGGTTCCATAGTTTTTGAAATATTTGTGTAGACTTCAGTAGTTGAGCATCTCCCATCCACAAACCTGTCCTCTGGAATGCTCTGGAGGCAAGCCGTTGGGAGTGAATTTGTAGATTACAAATGCGCAAGCTGGGTTCCTGTCACATAGTTGGTGATCCAGATTGGAAATTTTTGTGTTTATCCAATTTCTTTGTTAGTGTTTATCATACAGTATTGGAGTAGTGTTCTTGTTTTATTTGTGTGTTTCTCTCTAGACTGGAAGCTCTCTGAGGCCAGAAATGGTGTCATCTTATTCTTATATTTCCAGTGTCTACCACAGTGGTTTTCAGAAAATGACAATTCAGGAGACGGGGGTTATAGCACAGTGGTAGAGTGCTTACCCAAAAACCTGGAGACCCTGGGTTTAATCACCAACACTTCAAAATAATAATAATAATAATAATAATAATAATAATAATAATAATAATAATATTCAATAAGTAGTTGAAAAAATCAAATGTTTTCAGCCTTTTTAAAACTTGTGCTCTATTAAATAAATTTATGTCTATCTTTAGTGTGATTTGAAATTCAAAATAAATAACATGTGTTAGTTAAAAACAAATTAAGGCTAGCTGGGTGTGGTGGTGCATGCATGTAATCCCAGTGGCTCTGGACTGGAGGCTGAGATAGGAGGATCACAAGTTCAAAGCCAGCCTCAGCAACGGTGAGGTGCTAAGCAACTCAATGAGACCCCGTCTCTAAATAAAAAATACAAAATAGGGCTGGGGATGTGGCTCAGTGGTTGAGTGCCCCTGAGTTCAATCCCTTGTACCAGAAAATAAAATAAAGTAAAAAATAAAATAAAAATAGGACTAAGCATGTAGCTCAGTGGTGGAGTATTTGCCTAGCATGCATGAGGCCAGCATGGTTCCATCACCAGCACCTCTATCAATCAGCCAGTCAGTCAATAAAATACTAATACAACTGAAGTAAAAAATAAATTAAAATTTGGGGAGAAAGCATTTATTTTCAAAGTGCTCACACAGCTGAAAAGATTATGATGCACATTCTACCTCACCCTGCCCCTTGAAGAATCAACCAGTGGCCAGAGACAACACAAGTTTTCTTGTTGACTGGGTGTCAGACCTTAGTTTCCTTAACTCTGAAATTATGAAGGTTGGTTAGAGAGCATCTTAAAATTCTTTTTTTTTGAGAGAGAGAATTTTTAATATTTATTTTTTAGTTTTCGATGGACACAACATCTTTGTTTGTATGGGCCACATGCATGCCAGGCGAGCACGCTACCGCTTGAGCCACATCCCCAGCCCCATCTTAAAATTCTTTTTCTAATTTTTTTTTTTTTAGAAAAGAAAACTAAAGAATTTCTTTAAAATTTTCTAATTTTTTTACTCTATTAATAATGCTTACTAGTTGGGTGCTTTCCCTGCCAGGTAACCCGGTCAGTGCTTTCCTTCTATTCGCTCAGTCCTGAAAGACCCAAGTGGCTGTTGTAGATCCGTTGCACCCATCTTCCTAATGAGGACAGGCGGAGTCCTCAGGAAAGCACGAGGACATCACAAGTGCAGTGACCATTCGAACAGCAGCTGGTGCTGGATGTGGAGGTGCTCTAGACAGCTGCCCACGCGTTGCACTGCATCCACAAGATTGCCAGGCAGGTCGTCAGAATGGCGATGCCAGGAGAGTGGGCACCTGAAAGTGACAGTAGGCACCATAGTGCTGTTTGAGAAATAAAATCATTGGCCTCAGAGTTTTCATGTCTTGTATTCCAAGGAAATTTACTCATAGAAAAGTAAAATTTTCCCCAAAGAATACTACAGCTTATTTTCTTTTCTCTTGTTTAAGATAAGTACCTTTAATGAGCTGTGCTCTCAATTTTAAAAGCCCCTAGAAGAATCTAGCAGGCCCTTCAACATGTTCGCTCAAGTCTGTGAGTGAGTTGTTGTGCTGGCAATAAATAGGATGTGGATGATTTTGAGAAGGGTGTGTGTTAATCATGCTTTTCTTTTAAGCCTCTTTATATTTGAATTTATACTCGTAAAGGTCTTCAGCCATCTCCTAGCGCTCTCACCACGGCAGCACTGCAGGCCAGCATTGTGTCCTGTGTGTGAGAGACAGGAGCAGAGCGGCCTGCCTGGCCCAGTGGGCAAAGGGAGTTGCTCCTCTGTGCCTGCCTTGGACCTTCTTCCTTACGTACGGAAAGTGTGTTCAAATATTTAAGTAACTTTTCTACATCAGTGGTGGCAGTTATTTCATAATGATTAAGTTAAAAAGTGATTCTAATCATAGGTTTTAGACATTTATTAATACTTCAGTTGTACACAGTGATTTGAAATTTTTATCATGAATTATTGATGCCACCAAAGGAGAAAGATTGAAAGAGGGAGCACGCACATGCGTGACCTCAGTGATGGTGTAATGGATTTTAATCCCAGAGATCCTAATCCTATGTTGCCTGAATTTTGTGAAATGAATGGATAAATTCTCTCATTTGTTTATTTTCTATATTAAGATATTAGAAAATGCTTCCATGTAAGCCAGAGTGTCTTGTAGGTACATTACAGCAAATTATCAGATGACAAATGTATTCTAAATTTATTAGAATTGTTTTGTGAATAGATTTGGGCATACTCATTTTTTAGTAAGCGCTAATACTCAGTACTTTTTGTTGTTTTGTGAGTACAGTTGTTCAACAGAGAAAGGCAGAGTCAAGCTAGGGTTGGAGAAGGCAGCTTGGGAGCAGCAGATGTTGTGCAGGGCTTCCTTGAACACTGCCCTTCACTCACTGGCTTGAGTAGGAGGAAGGCTGTGATCCTTGAGCCACAGACCCCACCCTGCTTCCTGTTGCTGGGAGACATGGAATCCTGGGCCACTGAGTGTAGTGTTTAGAGGTTGGTTTCCAGCTTCTGGGGCTGAACATGGGACTACTTCTCCAGTGAATTTTTGGATTTTTGGCTTTGTAGGTTTTATTCCTTATTTTTTTAATCTGGGAATGTTCTGGGTTCTGTCTAAGTATTTGTTAGCTTAAGTTATTTGAGCTCGATGTCTGTGACTTTTTCTAACAGGACTCTTACTTTGTTACAGGTATGCCTTACATTTTCTTGTGCAAAGTGGGATTTCCTACTGCATCATGATCATAATAGGAGTGGAGAGCATGCACAAGTGAGTACTCAACTCAGAGAATTTTATTTGTTATACTAAAAATAATTCTGAATCATGATTCCTTAAGGGAAAAACTGCCGAGTTGGTGCTACGCATCACTTCCAGTCTCTTAGAGTGTAGCTGCTCATCTCTGCATTGCTGGCATGTTAGGGTGGCTAGTTCTTTGATGTTCAGGACTGACCTGTGCACTGAAGGACCTTTAGAAGATCTTGGCAGCACCCCCCAAGTGTGACAACCATGAGTCCAGATGTTTTCAGATGTCCTGTGGTGCCATATTGCCTCCACTAGTCAATAGGTGACAGCAGTGAAGTGGGGTGGAGTGAATGAATTGGAGAGAGACTTGGGTAAATTTAGAAGGGGTGGATGATTGACGGGTAGTGCGGGTAGAAAATAAGGAAGTCCCAGGTTCCATACTCTACTCGAAAGTGGGGATCATTTTGAGGATATAGAGCATTTCAAGTGGGTATTTATTCAGCCCCTAAAACAATGTTTGGTGTATAGTAAACACTCAATAAGTATTTGTTGAGTAAATAATGTTGACTTTAAGTAACTGGAGACATGTAATGGCAGTTGGGTAGCTAGGTATACACATATTGGGATCTGGATAGGAGGATTAGAGATATAAATTTGGAAATATGTAAAAGATATGTAAAAGGTACTTAATGTAAAACCCAGGGACAGAGCATACTAGCAGTTCCTGCTGGAGTATTCCATAATACCTGACAAGTGATATATAACATTTGTCCATTATTTTTCAAAATTTGGAAACACAAATGTCTGCAAGAGTTTTGCACAAGGAATCAGCCCAGCAGCTTTTGATGAGTGCTTTTCTAAGTCTCACTTTATTTTGCATCTTCTGTGTTTACACTATTCATCACCCTTCTGTTGTGTTCTTCACCAATCAATGGTTAAAAGTTCTTGAAGTTTGAGTTAGTTTTTTTTTTAATATTTATTTTTTAGTTGTAGTTGGACACAGTACCTTTATTTTATTTTTATGTGGTGCTTTTTTATAGGATCGATCCTAGGGTCTCGCACATGCAAGGCTGAGCCACAATCCCAGCCCTTGAATTAGTTTTTATAAGAGAAAAAAGAACATTTTGGTGGTGTTTTAGGTGAAGCAATCTGCACCTTTATGATCCTGTTTTTAAAACCTTGTATAGATGGCTGGTTCAAAGTAAAACTGCAGTACCCTTGATATCTGATAAAAACTAGCTGTATGTTTTTCATCTGGAGATGGTAGGAGAAAAACCAGATTACGTTACTGAAAACAGGATTTATGTGCTACTTACTTGCTAAAGCAGAAGTAATATGCCTTGGGGTTAGAAGGTTAGTTAATTCATAGCAAGAAAAAGGAAATTATTTCTTTTCTGAACCAATAGAAATCTGTGAAGTTAACTTTCTAGTACTTTGGACGAGTAGTGTTCAATATGGTAGCCACTAGCTACATGTGGTTAATGTTAATTTAATGTAATATGTTAATTAAAACTTACAGTTCAGGTCCTTAGTTACACTAGTCACATTTCAGTTGTTATACAGCCACATGTGACTAACATAGAGAACTTTTCTGTTATTCAGAAAATTCTATTGGATAGTGCTGCTTTAGAGACAAATAGTTGGGTAAAATCTTTATGGTAAGACAGATAGTTGTGTGTTTTTTCTTTATGTAAGTTTTTGGAGAGAAAATGATAGTTGTGTATATGTAACTGACATTTAGAACAGAATTCAGGTGTTGGCATCTGACACTGCTGATGGAACTGATTAGGATGAGTTGGGTTTTGCCATCTGAATTGTTATTAGGAAACAAATAGCAGGGGAATAATTAACTGGAAAAATGTGTGTTTTGATATTTTAAGGTCTCTTCTGTTTCATTTTATACCCATTTATGTTTCTGTGTTTGACTTTATTTTTTCTTTCTTGTTACTCATATATGCTCATTTAAAAAAATTTTTTTAGTTGTAGATGGACACAATGTCTTTATTTTTGTTTGTTTATTTTTATGTGGTGCTGAGGCTCAAACCCAGGGCCTCACACATATGAAGGAAAAGCTCTGCCACTGAGCTACAACCCAGTTACACTAGATGGATGGGATTTGAACATTCTTATGTGTTGCTCAAAGTTATTGTCCATGTATTATATAATTCTACTTACATCTTTCAGTCTAGTTTTACGTGGTATGCATATTTTTTGAACAGCTGGGTTTTAAATGTTTAAAACGAATAATTTGTACTTCTCCGAGTACTCAACAGTTTTCAGTTTCTTGAATCTATCTGCTTTATGGTCTTTATGAGGTGTTTATTGTATCATTGTTCTCTAAAACAGATCCGTGTGTAAATTAAAATCTTTTGACACAATATAAGCTTGATTATTTTGTAGCTCCCTTCATTTAACATTCATATACAGGCTGTATTATTCTGGTCCATATTAGGTAATTTACTTGTGAAACTTAACTTATTCTAATATTCACTGTTTTTTTTTTTTTTAATAGCCAGTATTTTCAAATAAACTTTAAAAATTTTGAGGAAAAATAATTGAAAAGTTTAGGTGATAAAGACTAAGGAAAAATATTTAGGGAACAGAGTATTCTTACATATCTTATTAGTTAGTTTGGGCTTTTGTGACATAGTACCATAAACTGATAAAAAATGGAAATTTCTCTCACAGTTCTGGAGGCTGAGCAGTCTAAGATCAGGCTCACAGATTTGGTCTGGTGCAGGCTGGCTTCTGACTCATAGTTATTGAGATTCTCTTTGTAACCTCACGTGGTAGAAGGAGCAAGAGAGCTTTCTAGGTCTCTTCTCTATGGGCATTAATTTCATTATGAGGATTCTACCATATGATCTAATCACATCCGCAAGACTCCACCTCCAGATATCCTCACATTGGGAATTAGGTATCAAGATTGACATTTAAGCAGTGATACAAACATTCTGTAGTGCTACACATTGGATATTAATTCTTCTTAATTTAAGAGAGTGCAATGTTTGCCTGATTCACACAGCAGACTTTGTAAAGGACCAAATAGTGAACTTTGGCTTTTGGGTTGTAAAACATATACACTCTGCTGTTACAGCTCAAAGACAGCCACAACAATTGAGCATGGCTGTGCTTCAGTTATGTTTTATTTACGAAAGAGGTTGTGAGTTGAATTTGTTCAAACGTGAAAACTAAGATTTTTAAGAGTGGGAGGCAGAGAGATTCTTTATACCAACTTAAAAAAATATGTTATAAGTTTGGTTTTTTGCTAAGTGTAATTTTAAATGTTATATAGCACAAATAGTGGACTATCTGAGCTTTGTTTATTAATGGCTCACTTTGAATTACTGTTCTAAACCAGATAGTTTCCTAAAGAGATGGTGGAAATGTTTGCCTTCCTCTTGGTATAACTTATTTTGGTAGAAGGGAAGTGGAATAATGAGGTAAGAGCTGATATTTAACACTTAAAGTGAAGAATATGTTATTCAAAACAACAAAAAAGGAATATGGTAAAAGTAAAGGCTTATGAACACATAAATTGTTATTTTATTAGAGATGAACAGTCCTGCAGCTCAGGAGGTGGAGGTAGGAGGATCACAAGATCAAAGCCAGCCTCAGCAATTTAGTGAAGTGGTAAACAACTCAATGAGACCCTGTCTCTAATAAAATACAGAATAGGGCTAGGGATGTGGCTCAGTGGTCGAGTGTCCCTGAGTTCAATCCCTGATACTAAAAAAAAAAAAAACAGAGAGAGAGAGAGAGATGAACAGTCTAATAGTGAAAATTTTAAATTGATTCACAATAGCATCAAAAAGAAGAATATGCTTAGGAATAAATTTAATGAAGCACGAGACAACTATACTGGAAATGAAAAGCACTGCTGAGTCTAAGTGAAGTTAGCCAATCCCCCAAAAAACAAATGCCGAATGTTTTCTCTGATATAAGGAGGTTGACACTCAGTGGGGTAGGGAGGGAGAGCATAGGAGGAATAGATGAATTCTAGATAGGGAAGAGGGTGGGAGGGGGCAAGGAATTAGCAAGGATGGTGGAATGTGATAGACATCATTATCCAAAGTACATGTATGAAGACTTGAAAAAAAAAAGCGCTGCTTTGAAAATAAAGAAGTCCTAGATAAATATACCATGATAAATATACGAAGGTATACCATGTTCATGGATTGGAAGTTGTTAAGATGGTATTTTATCTGTATTTGATTAATAAATTCAGTGCATTCCTGTTAAAATTCTTACAGATATCTTTGTAGATGCTGACAAGATGATCTCAAATTTTAAGTGGAAACACAAAGGACCTGGGATAGCCCCTAAAGAAAAAGTTGGAGGGCTTACAGTACCTCATTTCAAAACTTACCTTAAAGCTCTAGTAATTAAAATAGTGTACAACAGGTGTGGGGGTAGACATGCATATTAGCTGAGCAAAATATGGTCAAATGATTATTGACCAAAGTGCTAGGGCAGTTCACTGTGCCAAAGGATTATCATTTCAATAGTGGTACTATGACATTTGAACAACACATGCAAACAAATAATCTTTACCTTTACCTTAAAACACACACACAAATTAACTTAAAATACATTGGAGGCTTTCATGTGAGACCAGAAATTCTACCATTTGTAGGAGCAAATATTTTTGACAGTGGATTAGGTGAAGGTGTGATGATATTAAAAACATGAACAACAAAAGGAAAATTGATGGTTTTGACTTCATTTAAAATAAAACAGTTTGCTCTTCAGAAGACACTGTTCATAAACTGAAAAGGCAAGCCATAGACTAAAATAAGTTTGCAAATATTTATCTGATAAAGAATTATAACTGGGGGCTGGGGTTGTAGCTTAGTGGTGGAGTGCTTCCCTTGCATGTGTGAGGCACTGGGTTCAATTCTCAGCACCACATAAAACTAAATAAGCAAAATAAAGGTATTGGGTCCATCTACGTTTAAACAAAAAATATTTAAACATAAATTGTATCTGGAATATTTAAAGAACTATTACAGCTCCATATTAAGCAA